TTTTTGCGAACTAGCCATCTCCAAGGATTGAAGGTATATGGATCTGGATTAAGTCATGGACTTGACGGCCGTGATCGAAGTAGTCGAAACAGTCTCATATCGCGAATACAAAATTGTGATAATTAAATCAATCATCTCTTCATCATTCAGCTTGCGTGTATTATTTTTGCATATTGTTTCAAGTTTATAGATTATTTTGAATTTTTTGTTAAATTAATGGAATATATTGTAATTAATGCAATGGAGAATGAAGAGGTTGCTTGAAAAGTTTCGTCCAGTAATTTTAATAGCACTAAATAACAATTAAATATGATAAAAGCAGTATGAAAGATTTGTACGTTAAATAAATAAATTCTCAGAAATATAGAATAATTAATTAATCGTAGCTTCAACTTTGTATGAAACTTATACTTCTCGTAAAAGCATTGTATACATTTTCATCGTGTGTTCTCACTTTTTTCTCTTGAAAATGGATACATGTTCGGTTCGTTCTTCTGTGTGTGATGGATAAATGTCCATGATCCACGTTTCAAGGCCACTTTTAATCTCTCTATTGGGATGATCCGGTCTAGAGGTTGTCCAGTCATCTCGGCGAGGAATTTTGCTATGACACCAGGTGGCCTTACACTATGAGCACTGCTATAGCGAAGTCGGACATAATTGACTGCATTAATCTTGGTAGCTGTGTCACACAATATAAAGAACCTGAGGGAGTGAGTCATACATAAATAAAATTGAGAACACAAATTCAAGAGAAACTGTAATGGGCTCAAAAAATTGTTAACTATATGATTTCAGTTGGATTGCTCCTAGGATGGTAACATAGACATGAGTTGAAATTCAATGTTGTAACATTCCTAAACCATTTTCAATGGTACCTCAAATTTGGTGTAATAATTGGAGATGCTCTAAAAGCATGCAAAATGAAATGTAACCAAAAACAACAGAGTAATTGCTAGAATAAGCAAGGAGAAGTCTTGGCGCAAACTGGCATTTGGTAGATATGGATATGGATCTGGAGGCAAGAAGACACAATAATCGCCGTTGAAATAGATTCTTCAGGAAAGGCCCAACCATTCTCGAAAGTGTATCCTTGCGAAATAGAAGCTCTGACTGCACTTTCCTAGAGGGCCAGCTTGCACGAGCACATCGTTATAAAATTTGAGACCTCATAGCATTGCAGTATCCCCTGTTTGACACAAGAACTATAAGCAGGAGTTGATGGCTAGTAATTAAAGCTGAACATCTGTGTCAGATGTTGGGGTGCCGGACAACCAAGTTCCACTGGTTGTAATTCATCCGGTAATTGTAGTTTGTTATTGTAACCTTAACCCGCCAATAGTCCTCGTAGTTTAACTTCACGTGCTGATGGACCCAAATGGGGCACATGTGACTGGAGCACTGGACCAGAGGTGAGTAATTAGTCTCCTCATTGTCCGATGAAACAACGGAAGCTAGATGCGGCGTGTCGGGACTACTACCAGAGGCAGAGGCATAAGCATCACAGAATAATAGACATGGTTAGGGAACAAATTATGAGAAAGATCAAAGAAACATAAAGAACACTAGCAGCTTGGTGGACAGTACAATAAATAAGATTTTAACTTCTTTTTCTTATTTAACGCGTGTTTAGGAGCCATTTTGTATCTAATTTGTAGAGAAATTCGTGTCGTTATTCAGTGCACGTCAGTGCATTGTGCTGCAATTATTGACTGAAATAAGGGGAATGACCTTTTAGCCACTTTACCATTCAATTCACTCCTCTTTAGAAAATGGCATTTTTGGTAATAAGCTCTCGTGGAGTTAATAGTTCATGCACAAATGGAATCCACCTATCTTTACAACGGTCAAAAAATGGATTAAATTTTGGACAAAATGACTCCCAGACACGCGATAAATATTTTCCAATCATGTCAAGTACTTTGCATCAAATATGAACTTACTCCACACAACTTCCTGGCTGAGTGATGTTATTCTGACATCCACAAGTACAAGTTGGGCATTGATCGTGTCATTGTAGAAGGACGACATAGACCACAGCAAGTTGGAGATTTTTGGGCCAGAAACTGTGAATATGTGCACGTAAGGTTCCATGTCACTGCAACACTAGAAGCATGAGAAAGAATCCAAATAATCTTGATGGTAAAAAAAAAAAATACAAAAAACATCAAGTAAACACGGCCAAATTTTGGCATCCCGTGCTATTGGTTGATCATACAGAGGAGGCGGCAAAATAAATAAAATTATACAATTTTCCGTATCATCTATTGCATGGCAACTCATTTGACTCATTCATAACACCCTAAAGTCTTCGATCCATATCTAAAAAATCGAAAAATATAAACGCGTATATCTGAATTAATAGGAATACCATAACTTACTCATTGCTTGTGTCACTCTCCTCCGTCTTACGAGAGAAACCTGGTCGAATTCCCCACTTTTGCAGGTCCACAAGTATAACCCAGTCCAAATGTTCTTAGGCACAAGGGTTTTGTTGGTGGTTCCAGCAGAACCAACACGAAGTTGGAAAGGGCTTGCAGCATTGGTAGGATCTTGCATCCATGAATTTATAACCCCACCTTTGCAACAATTTGCAATCTGTTGATTGTAAGGAGTTCCGGGCAATAAGTCGACAACTATTGGATCTTTTTTACAGCAATGTGGAATGCCAGTTCCTTTAAACCTCGAATAATCTCCTTGCTCCAATGTTTGACCACCCATCACGATCCATATCACCTCCTTCTTTGCCCAAGTCCATCCCAAACTCCAACCTGGCACTTGAATATGACGATATTCTTTGAAGTTGAAAATTGTTACAACAGTGTATCGGTTTTTAGTATAGAAATGAATCAAACAACGAACAGAAAGGAAAGAGGAAAATTAATATGGAACAAATAGACAGTTCTGAGTTTACTATAATACTCACATCATAGCCGTCCGCGGTCCAGATAATATCCCATTACCCATTTAGTTGTGAGATTCCCATTGGGATCAAGCATATCATAAGCCTCTGGAAAGCAAGGAAAATAAACAAAATCATATCTAAATTCTCTGTTCTTCTACCAATAAAGTCGTACTGCAGAATATTCAGCAGATGCATAGATTCTACAAAGTAGATAAAAGTCCCAAATTACATATAAAAACCCAAAAATAAGGAAAAAATTAAAACTTATTCGATCAATAAGAAACTAGACTATGGTAGAAGAACACTATCTGATCATTTGAATATTCTTTAGCAAGAAGCAGTTTAACCAAAGGTTAGTGTTCTTTCAATTCATATATCTTAGACTCCTCATTCGTATCAAGAATCAAAACCCATTTCAAGAAACACCAAAGAAGGGGCTTAATTTCAGATTGCTAACCTAATCAATCAAAACATGCATACAATCACTCAATGACATAACTTATAAAAAATAAAACCCGACCATTTCTTCATTTCGCATGGTAAAATCCCAATTCAAATTCAATTAGGAACCCAAAAATTTTTTTAGACGTTAAGGATTATTGAAACCCACAAGTAAGAAATTCTTCAATAAACAGTTAAGCTAACGGTGTCAATGGCCAGGCCGGCCAGCCCATCTACCCTTCGACAAGCCGAGCCGAGCTCAAAGCTCGTTTGAGCAAGCTCGGCTCGTGCTCAAGGGCCGATCACGAGCTCGAGTTTTTTTTTATTATTTAATTTTTTGTTTACATTTTTTACGAGCTCACGAGCCGACGTATGGGCACGGCCCAAGAGCCGTTCGTGAGCTTGACAATTTGAGCCTTGTTCGGCTCGTCAGATGAACCCTCTGTTTGACTCGCATGGATCGAGCTTTGACGAGACCATTTCTTCATTTTGCATGGTAAAACCCCAGGTCAATTCAATTAGGAACCCAAACAAATTTTTAGCCGTTAAGGATTATTGAAACCCACAAGTTAGAAAATCTGCAGCAAAGAAAATGAAACAGTTGAGCTAATGGTGGCAATGGATCGAACCCTTGAGCTCGACCCATCTAGTGACGAGCCGAGCTCAAGCTCGTGAGCTCACGAGCCGAGCCGAGCCCACGAGCTCGAGTTTTTTTTTAATTTATTTATTTTTTTACTTTTTTGTTCACATTTTTTGCGAGTCCATGAGCCATTTGCGAGCTAGCCGAATGAACCCTCGGCTCGGGCTCATCCCGAAACGAGCCCGAGCCGTCCATAGTTTGAAAAGCCGAGTCGACGAGCCAACGAGCTACTCAGCCCTTTTGCCACCCCTATGTTAAGCATAACAATTGAAATGATTTTATTTGAAAAATATGTGATTAAAATTAAGAAAGATAATTTTTTTAAAAAATTTTATGGGGGCCAAACAGGGGCTTAGTATGCTCGAGACTTAACTTGATGTAACTTATAATTATAATGGATGTCAATTGATGTGTCATCTGTTTTGCATACTCTAATGTATTCAAGAAGTAAGACGTTGTTTGATCTCCATTTTTTTCAAAATACATTTTTTTTTTCTTCTTTTCAATCACACATTTTTCAATAAAATAATATTACACACAATCCAAAAACTGTTCATCTATTTATAATCACACATTCTCAATCAATCTACTATTTCAAAATGCATTCAACCACACAAAAAAAAAGGGCTCAAACAAGCCCTAAATTGAGTGACTTAATTATAATGGATGTCAATTAAGTTGTGAGCTATTTTACGTGTTCGACTGTACTCAATTCTTGATTTATAATTATAATGAATGTTATTTAAGCCCTTGTTTGGTCTCCGTTATTTTCAAAATACATTTTTTCATTTTTTATTTTCAACCACACATTTTTCAATAAGATAGCATTAGACGTAAATTCAAAAAAATTCCTTATTTTTTAACTACATATTCTCTATCAAAATACAATTTCAAAATACATTCTTTCCAGGAAAAAAAATGAAGCTCAAACAGTTCCTAAAGTGTGACCTATTTTACCGTTTTACGTGTCATTCGTGTTTATCATGGATGTCAACTAGTGATATGTTTTTGACAATGAAGAATTTAACAAAAAAATCTCTGATAAAATGGACTAAACCAACTAAAAATCGGTGCAAATTTTCAAATACAAAACCCAAAGCAAAGCACTACAGACAATAATTTAACTAGGTTGTCTCTTACAAAAATTAAATACTAGTTATGCCAACCATCTAAATTTTGGGGGGTAATTAGAATATGATTGGCATTAAATTTTTATAAATATGAGAATGACTGCCCAACTGTGGCCTTTCGTTTACCAATCAAAAATTGACTAGTGTCCAATTTGTAAAAATTCTGTCAAACTCTCCATGCACGTCTAGCATCACTCTGAGCTCAAATATTATTGAAAGACACGTTGTGCTAATTGTTTCAAATTGGACCTTTTTGTCAAAGTACGATTTGAATAAGATTTCTCAGTATTTGATACTAAGCTTTTGTTTGACATAAATTTTAATATAAATTTGAGGAAATTGCACCCCATGTCACTTTTTAGATTATCATTTTAAAAAATGTGACATTTTAATAATCTTTTCAAGAATGTCACTTTTGGACTTTATTCCTTATGAGACCCATCTGTCGAAATAAATTGTCACTCTTGACAGTTATGCTCTACAATTCTTGATAGTTAGTTATTGTTTCTCTACAGTTATGATACGATGCAAACTTGTTTCAACTGTTCTTCTACGTGTGTTATGAATCAAATGTATTACATATCATCATCGACCTTTGGTATTTGTTCATGTTACTGATTTTTGCATAAATGGACAAACTATGATGCCATCAGATGAGTTCCTGAAAGGCACATCAGCTCCATATGTATTACATATCATCATCTGCTTCAAACCGTCCTCCATACATTAGGAGTGGTGGAAAGAGAGGAAAAATATGAAATAATTGAAATTTGTTGATATGGAAAACATTATCATCCCTTTTTGAATGGTTGAAAATAATGGAACATTACAGGTTATGAAACTCAAGTGTCTAAGCTTTGTACTTTGATGTTGGAAAACATTGTATAACTTATTTTGTAGTTTGCGAAAATATAGTTGACCAATCATTTGTGTAGCTTGATTGTGTAACTGTTAATAATTGTATATTATAATCACAGTCGAGTTTAGGTATATTCAGCCAAGTACAAAAAATTACATGGACTTCCAATTTTTATTTTTTTTAAATTTAATTGATCGTCTTGTATGATATAATGACCATCTCTCACTTAAAATGGTGAAAGACTGCATGATATGAGAATACAATGAATAAATTTGAATGAGATTAGTGATTCATACTCATTAATCGATCGTCCTGCCATGGCTACCGTATCTATGTAGTACTATGTACCCGTTGTATTGTCTAGTTTGGTACCAACCGTTGTACCCGATTATTTTGTCTCGTGTAAAACATACCAACGTACAACTGTCGAGAATTCGATCGCATATCGTCGAGGCCAACAATTTAACAAATGTTATGTTTTGCACAATTGTAAAGTTGTGTTCGTAATCGATCTAAAGATACAACTGTGATAACAGTAAAATAATAATACAACACAAATAACAAAAGTCATCATTGTCATGCACGATATAGAAATTAAAGCCTGATTCATCATTGAACTTCATATTTGCTTATTTTGATCGAAGTTATATTCATATTTGAGACTTTGAACTTTTATTATATTTCAGTGCATGGATCATGAATATGATGTTTCTCTATCAATCATAACACAAGTCCTGATATGATGATATTACTTAGAATTAAGATTGAAGTGGTTTTGTTCCCTCGTCACTTCCACTCGTCATTTATGGCACAAAATATCTCTCGTATGACACGATGAACCTTAGATTATTACTAATACCAGAAAATTTGATATAACAATGATAATCATTCAACACAAATAATATATCAGACTTCCAGCATGTAAGTGGTACCTATACACAATAACAAACTGGTGAAAAAGACAGTTGAAATGTCTTTCACAATATTTACGAAGTGTCAAGTTCGACAGTTAAATTGTCGCTATTTATTATTACCATCTAAAGGATTAGCATTTAAGGGGATGATTGAAGTACATTCTTCATAACATTAAATGTGTTCATCAATGTTCAACTACTACCCGACAAAATGTTGATGACAATGCTTAAATAGGGAGTGTTTCACAACATTATATGGAGGACATAGATATCTTTATTAAAAAAAGATTTGCAAAATCAAATCGAAGGAATGAATAATAATAATAGTTTGTAAAATTCTACATTAATATAAGCATGTTGGATTTCACAATTCAAAAATAGTAAGTTATAAGAAAAAACTTTAAAAAATTTGTAAATACTAACCTCTCAATATAGAAGATGAATTCAATAAACTTTCTTCTTGATATTGGAATGAAGATGTTAAGAGAATTATGGGTTTTGGAGTGTGAAAATCAGTACATACAATGTTTTGAATTTTTTTCTTTTTAACATTTCTATTATTCCTTGGATTATAGATACATTCAAAAAAGATTCTCACACAAATCAAATAATCCAATCATGAAGTTAATTACCATTAAATGCATGCATTAATGAGTATTAAATGTATCCAAAAAGATATCTTCAAGGGTGATTTGGACATTTCACACAAAAAAATGACATTTTTTAGCCTTCTTTATAAAAGTGATAACTTTTTGTGCATTTATAAATTTTGTAACATCTATGCAAATTCCACTATAAACTTTAATCAAAGTCAAAATTAACAATTATTTTAACAACGTATTTCATGGGTCTCCCAACTTTTTAATCAAACATTTCATCAACTTTAATTAAAATCTGTTAAAAATTTGATTTCAATCTATATCTTAGCTTACACATAAACATAAGTACAATATAAGACATCGTTTGATTGTAACGAATTCCATGGAAAATCTCACATTCTAGGAAAAAGAATTCCACTTTGACCATTTGATTGCAACGTGGAAATTGAAATCGAATTCTAAGGTACAATAACTTTAAACTGCATTTTTTTTTTTGCACGGAAAACGAATTTCTATGGGTTTGGTGGGTTTTTATTTTCCAACTAACATGAAATTAGAATTTATTTTCATCTTTGCCTATTAAATGGACCTGATATTTCTTTAGTTGCCACTTTTTAAAATTAATAATCAATTATAAGCCCTTGTTTGACACCCATTAAATTACATTACATTACATTAAATTTTTTTCTCTTTTCATTTCAACCATACATTCATCAAATAAAATAATATTACACACAAATCAAAAAAATTTCAACTACACATTCTCTCATCAATCAATATTCTAAAAATTTTCAACCCCAAAAAATGTAATATAATGGGGGCCAAACAGGGGCTAAGCTACACAACGTTTGACCGAACAATTGGTTTTTATATCCGCGGCGCAGACGATCCCCGCCGCCAACAAAGACCTGACTTCCGCCAAACGGCTTTTCGACCAAAGCCACTTTTCAAATCAAATTGAAATTTTCCTTCTCTCCGAGAAATCTGCCATTCCAATTAATCATTTCTCATTTCGGAAATCTTTTCACAAAAAATAATGATTTCCTATTCGTGTTAGGGCTTTTTAGAAATTTATTTTCTGGGCCATTTTTCCTAATTCAGCATTTGGCCCGATGGATGCTGCTGGAACTCATAGAAAATCTTTTGACCAAACCGAGATTAATTGGGATAAGTAAGCTTCATCAATCTAATTTCTTTTAAATTTTAGCTGTTGATTATTAATCAGTTTGCTTATAAGCTTGTTCTGTATTTATCATGTATACATTAGTTTATAAACACGTACAAATACACACATTTCCGTGATAATTGCTAATAATTTGATTATTGTGAAAACATTTCAAGTAGTCGTTTTCTTTTAGTATGGTAAATGAAAATTATGGAGAGGAATGTTGATTTCGAGTTGTTGCAAATGCATGATAAGGTGAGGTGTAGATTTAATTACATGCCTCATGGGAAAAGCATTTGTGAATGTATATTTATGATGTGCATCTGGAAGAAATTATTGAGATGAACGTGGAGTCATTTCAAATGTAGTTGATTTTAATGTTTCAATTAGTTCGTGATGGCTGTTCAATTCAAGGGTTTCAATTATGCACTATAAAGTAGGTTTTAGGGTATCTTGCTCTTGGTTGCAAACATTTAATTTCGTTACGTTCACTTATCAGCATGAGACAGTGGCGGACGCAGACATTTTTTGTTGGTGGGTCACACTCAGAACTTTCCAAAAATTTGTTAGTGATTGCCAATGGCCTATGTGATTATCCTGTAATCATCTAGGTATCTTCAGAACTAAGAACAATTATTCTGATTTCAACTTCACTAACATATTGAAAAGGTCCATTTAACACTTGTGAATGCACAGATGGATTGCTGACTGCTAACGTTAAATTATTGAAATAATTCAGTTTATTTAAACCACCTAATTTGATATACCAGTATAACAAACCAGTTGGATTCAATCCGTTTAAAGCAGTTGGATTTCAAGATTTTTGTTCTCAAACCAGCAACATCTTGGACAACATGTTTAAGTTTCAATGAACAGAAACTCAAAAAAAACGATGCTTCCTGATTCCTCAAGTAAGTTTCTCATGAATTGAATATTCTAAACGATGCGTCCTGATTCCAGCTAAGAAGGCTCATATGAAAGCTCCTCTCAAAGAACAGCACCCTCATCCAAAATTTCATACCTTTATAAATGCCATTTCTCAGTCCCTTATTTTCCACTCAAAAATTCGCTAAAGAAACAAATGAACAAGAAAGGGAAAGATTTTCATCCATATCTAGATTCATATATCAACACAAAAAAATCCCACAAAATCTCTGTTAATAATAAATAAAAAGAGCTAAGATTTAGCTATTACCTTTTGGTTTTTCTCTGAACACAGAGATGCAAAAAGCAGCACTCCCAGCAAAGTTCAAGTCTGACTCCCAGCAACAAGCAGATGGCGGAGAGTCTGACTCCCAGGCCCCAGCAACGCTCAAGTCAAGATGGAGATTTGGTAAGGGTGGTTCAATTGAGGCGGACATTACGGATGGGACAAGTGGTTTTCCTTTTCAAATTGCAATGACGATTGGTTTTCATTTTGAAGTTTCAATTGCAGGATTTAGGGACTAGGGTTGTTGCCTTGTTGGTGGAGGACTCTATTCTGAATCTCTGATGAATTCCTATATGAAATTATGAATAATAAATAAAATAAAAAAATCTCATCAAACTTGGTGGGTCACATGACCCACCAGGACCCACTGTGGGTCCGCCCCTGGCATGAGACAACATTAAATTTTCCTGCAACGGAAATCGAATGAAAGATTTTATCTTTCCAAAGGAAGGTGTTTTTTTTACAGATTAGGAGCCTTTGAATCAAAATAAGAATATTACCAATTCGTGTTTTATATTCTTATTTTAATTATGAGTTCACAGTTTCATGTTGCCTAACACAGCCTTTAACTTAGATAATTGTTCAAATAACTATTAGAAATGTCAATGATACACGTGAAACCTTTTATTTATATGACATTCTATGTCTTTTAATAATCAAGGTGCTTGCTATGACGACAGATGTATTAAGAAACTTCGGACTCTGTTTTTGAACTTTTGTCTTCATTAACACGTGGGTTTTCATTTTAGGTTTATTAATGTTAAAAGTTCTCCCTTGCAGGCTTGATAAGACCAAATTCTATGTTGTTGGAGCTGGGATTTTTACTGGACTTACTGTTGCACTTTATCCAATTTCGGTTGTGAAGACCAGGATGCAGGTTGCTTCACATGATGCTATAGAAAGAAATGCATATTCTGTCATCAAAGGTCTACTAAAAACAGATGGGATTCCCGGTTTATATAGAGGTTTTGGCACAGTCATTACGGGAGCAATACCTGCTAGAATTATATTTCTCACTGCGTTAGAGACTACGAAAGTGGCTTCTTTCAAGATGGTGGAACCATTCAAATTATCAGAGCCTACACAGGCAGCTATAGCAAATGGAATTGCTGGCATGTTGGGATCTCTTTGTTCACAAGCCGTGTTTGTTCCAATTGATGTGGTATGCTGGACCTGCACATAATTTCAGCTAGTCTATCTTTTTCCCCATCTTTTTATTGTTTATTGTGGGGTTAATAAGCTTGTTTTGGGTGTGTTTATATTATAAATACTTTGCTCAAAGCTACCTTTTTATCTACGCATTTCATGGGCCCACAAGTAGTAACCACTTATTCACCACGCATTTATATCTGTTTTATAATTTAAACCGATTATAATAACTTCCCAGACACGTGCTTTTGATTCAAGTTCAACTGTACCTTCGACCCTGTACTTTTACTTTATTTGTTTCTCCTCTGAGTCGTGATTGAATGTATGAGCTGGAAGATAAGAATATATGTCATTTTTATAATGATTCTATTTTGGCATTGCGTCTATCCTGCTATATGCACAAATTTCTGTTTTGGCTTACTGTTTTCTTGCTACTTTTGTCACTTATTGGAAAGCTCAAAGTCCACTTAGTTGATATTTTTAACAGGTTAGTCAAAGGTTGATGGTGCAAGGATATTCTGGCCATGCTACTTATAATGGTGGCCTGGATGTTTCTCGTAAGATACTAAAATCTGATGGAATTAGAGGATTTTATAGAGGATTTGGTCTCTCTGTTATGACCTATTCCCCATCTAGTGCTGTATGGTGGGCCAGTTATGGCTCAAGTCAGCGCTTAATTTGGAGGTATACTATTTTACCATCTGTTGGAATAGTCTCTAGTCACCTCTTTCTTTCGTGTTTTTCTACATGCCTGCTAGTTAATGCTTTATCTCAAGACTTTACGGTATAATAATCTTAAGAATAATTACTCCTCACCTCTAAACAAATCTATATGGTACACTTTTTAGGTTATAACTTTATTTTTTATGGTTTATTTTCTTTCTTATTTCACTCTCACGTGCATTACCTACTGTCAAGACTGGGTTCTCAGATCTCATATAAAAACCTAGTAGATATTCAATACTATTATAAGATATATTAATCTGTTACATATTATTTTGGTGAATAGTAATTTGGATAGAAGAAAGATTGAGCGAATTTATATTTGGTTATTTGCCTCAGAAATGGAAACAAATGCCTGCATTATGAGAACATTGGAGTAATAAACACAAATCTTTTGATAATGAGCAATAAATGGATCTCATGGTTTATATATATATATATATTTATTATTTATTATTTTTTTATTTTTTTTGTGCAAAGTCTATTTTCTGGTTTCTGTTTTCCTCTTACAAACTGTGTTATTCATTCTTGTGATAAAATTCTCATCTCCAACGTTTCTGGCAGGTTCTTAGGTTATGGCACTGAGCATGATGGACCTGCTCCAACTCAAGGGACCATTATGTTGGTACAAGCTGGGGGAGGGATTTTCGCGGGTGCTACTGCATCCTGCATCACAACGCCATTGGACACTATCAAGACTCGCTTACAGGTACCACGGTTACTAATTCATCTCTAGTGTTGGTTCCAGTGCATTTGCTTGCTTTTGGTAAATTGTTGATCTCGTGCAATTTGAACTTTTTTTGATATTCTACTTCATGAACTTACTGTGGATGTAATCAATTTAATGGCTATTGCCATATAAGTTTTTATATAAAATTTATTTAGTTACGTTCTTAAAATACTAAGAGAGCACAGAGGGTGCCTCAGCCTCTCGTCAAACTGAAACTATACAAATTATTGGAAAAGAGTTCCATAAATTATAACTAAATCACCATATGTGATACACCCAGCTGATAATGGCAGCGAACCTTGGCGAAGAAGACGAAAATTACAAATAAAAAAGGAGCAAGCTTCAGTTTCTAATGTTTCCTTTTGCATTCTTTATTCATTTAGCTTCTCTTACAGTTCCTGCTTCTATTCGATCATGTCATTATGGCAGCTTAGTTCACATTGTTTCTTTCCTCTTCCATGATTTCGATCATGTGTGAGGTCTTGTTATCGTAAACCTCACTTCCTGGGATTTTCTCAGCCTGGTCAAGTTCATAATATCTACATTCAAGCGTTCCCTGGAGACAAGGTGAAACCTCTCTCTGGGTTTTGGAATTTGAAATCAGGAATTATTATCACACAATGGATTCATGCACCTCATCAAGCCTAGTTCTGACTAGGAGTTCTCCTTTCCCTTTGGAGAGTTCTGTATGCTCTCCCTTCATCCGTGCCTTCAAATGAACTTGTGGATGGGAATCACTAACCAGAGCCATTGAGGACCAAGTAGTGTCGGTCTAGTTGCAGTAGAAATCGATGTTCACCTCATCAGAAGCAAAAATTATTTTTGTTCTTTTAATCTAGTAGTCTTTCTATATGACGAACAATAGTTCAAATTCTGATCGTTGTCATTTTGTAATTTGATTGCATCACTGGATCTATTTATTGGAGTTTTAGACATGACATGGTTGAATTGCAGATTAAGACTGTTTATGCAAGGCTTCTGAGTTGCAGATTAAGACTGTATGCAAGGCTTCTGATTTTAGTTCAACTTTTTTGGGTGTCATGCAGGTGATAGGGCATGAAAAGAAACCCACTGCTAGACAAGTAGTTAAAAATTTGATGGCTGAGGATGGATGGCCAGGCTTATATAGAGGTTTGGGCCCGAGATTTTTCAGCATGTCTGCATGGGGAACTACAATGATACTGGCCTATGAGTATCTAAGTAGGTTTCTCTCATTTCTCTTCTTTATTATTTTTTTCTTATATTGTTGTCATCATCCATGATTTCTCCATTAAGCGTGATAATGGACTTATGAATTCCTCAGCATGGTATTTCCCATTAAACAGATATTTCTTGTAGCTTATGCTGTTTACTGCTGCATCCTGCTTTTACATTTTTGTCTGTCACCAATTATCTTTTGGGTTTGTCATCGGCGTCTCTAATACATCTTCTTACACTACGAAATCACAACATAAAAAACTTCCAGGAAATTTTTAGTATTTGGATTCATCAGTAGTTTCATTTTAACATTAGTTTAGAACATTTTTACGTCATTGATTTTAGATATATGTACACAAATTTCTTTATATATTTTCGTCTTATTGTATGCCTGCAAAGCTAATTCTCAAGTCACTTTTATGACCGTTCATTGTGTTTTCCTGATTTGCAGAGCGCTTGTGCGTGAAAGATGATTAGGCTTATTGGTTACGACCCCCTACATGTGCATTTTTTAGGTGGCGGCAGAGATTTTTCTTCTACCTCTCCAACTCTAGATGCATTATCCGAGATATTGTAGAAATGCTTGCTTTACAATGTACCGGCCTAACAGGAAGGTAGCCTTCTGTTACTATAGTGGAAAGCCAGCCAACAACCTTGTCCCTAGATTTAATATACTTGCCAATTTATACAACATTGATGCTGTAATTCTTTTTGATGCCAACACATTATTCTTAGTTCATGTAACTGAAACATTCTTACGATGTAAAGAATATGTTGTTAACCAGAGATCATGTCTCGATTTTTTTTCTCTCTGAAAATCGATTTTTTAAGTAACAATGGATTTCAAGTTTTAATTGTTGTTTTAAATAATAATTTTTTTCTTAAGGAAACTTTCCGAATTCTACTGTCTAATTATTCCCCAAAACATATCATTTTGCATTTATTATAGTTTTTGAAAGTTTATTCACTAAAAAAAAAATCAAATATGTTGATACATAGTCATTACTTGAAGAAATGAAGAACGACTGCAATGACAACAAAAAATAATGCATTTAAGCTTCTGTTTTCAACACATATATTTTCTGCCTAGTCACAAGTAGAGAGATATAGTACAAACACTAATATTGTAGTGCATGTTTGGTTTGTAGAGGCATTATTGGACCGTACTAGACAGTATGTGAATCAAAGTATTTGTTTTTGTTTTAATATTGTCCAATGCACTTTAAATCACAATCCACTTTTTAAAGCATGTTTGCGAGCCGTTTATAATCGATTTAAATTATAATAGATAAAAATGACTAGTGAATAAGTATGCAATATTTGTGGATTCACGACATGCGTGAATAAAAAGTGATTTGACTGATTATAAACAATCCGGATAGCCTATAATTTTGAAACAACCATCCTTGTTGTGACCATTGATCTTGCAATGAGTACAATATAATAATTGTTTCTCCCTTTTTATCATTTCATAACACTCTTTCCTCCCATAGGTCTGACTCCATGATTCTTCTTCAAGTTACTTGCCTTAGAAAACATGGCATTCATTTCAGTTTCATTACCAAAGGCTATATGTACTTCTTTCTGTTTCTCAATCCTCTGGATCATAGCATAAGCCTTGTTAACCGCAGGTAGGGGCTCCATAACCAAAATCTGACTTCGAACTTGTTCATATTCCTCATTTAATCCCATGAGAAATTGCATTAACCTATTAAATGAAGTTATATCTGAGACCGCCTTAGCTGAACCACAGGTACATTCAGGTAACGGCATAAGATATGTTAATTCATCCCATAGACCTTTCAATTTTGTGTAGTACTGAGAGATTGACTGATTGCCCTGTTTTATCGAGCAAATCTCCCTCTGTATTTGGTATAACTGTAGACCATTGCAAGTTGAAACTTGAAACCACCAAACCTCTCTTCCAATTCACTCCAGAGCTCTTTAGCAAAATTAGTGTATAAAAATACATCAACAATGTCTTTTGAAATAGAATTTAGTATCCACGAAGTTATCATGCAATTGACTCTATTCCACTTCACAAACTGAGGTGAATTCTTAGCTAGAGGTTCAATTGTTCCATCAATGAACCCTAGCTTCATTTTTGCACCCAGTGAAATTCTAATTGACCTACTCCAAGCCAGAAAGTTCTTCCCGGTAAGTGGCACAGTAACAAGAGACATACCAGGATGATCTGAGTTACCTAACTGAAGTGGATCTCCTTCATCAGCTTCGCGACGAGCTCCATTAGCTCGCGAATTAGTATTTTCCTCTAATTCGTTATCCATCAGAAAAAAATCACTAATCACTAGTGATCACAATGTATTAGATCCTATCTTCAGGATCTTCCCCGCTCTAATACCATGAAGAAATTGAGAATCGAAGAGGAAATAATTCGAATTTTATTCAATTGATAATGAAAATGAAACCAAGGCTCAGTATAAATGCACCGGCCGGAACAAACATAACAGACGCTTACAGCTAATTTGCAATCTAGGCAACAAACTATCAAACAGACACAAATAAGGACTGAAAGTATAATTGCACGTAAGGTCCTTAAAAAAATAAAATGTGAACATTAAGTACTAAAATTCTACATTATTGGACCGTACTAGACAGTATGTGAATCAAAGTATTTGTTTTTGTTTTAATATTGTCCAATGCACTTTAAATCACAATCCACTTTTTAAAGCATGTTTGGGAGCTATTTATAATCGATTTAAATTATAATAGATAAAAATGACTAGTGAATAAGTATGCAATATTTGTGGATTCACGACATGCGTGAATAAAAAGTGATTTGACTGATTATAAACAAAAACAAGTGGGCAATGCAATACATTCAATGCTTATTCGTAAATACAAATTGTTCAAACATTTTAAGGGTACAAACTAGGAGGAGCCAAGAAACCACGATAAATACTTAAAAACACTTTGACGATCATCAGGTATCCCGATCGCACAGATTTTGATAGTTGCAAGGTCGTTTTTCATAGTACTTGCTCTCCGGTCCGATGCAACTACCGTAAACAACCCTACCACAGTAAGGCTTTTGCTTGCCATTACCGTCGTAAGAAATTGGTTTTGTAGCCAAAATCCTTCTACTTATATCGGATTCCATCAGAAACTCTCCATCGTCATCAGCAACACACTCGGCTATCGTTGCATTGCACCTCAGCCCACTGTTGGAGATGTAAGTAGTACAATGAGCAAAGATCGATACCCTTAAGTACAATTAAAAATATGGTGCAACAAATAAAAAAATGTAGCCACAAAATAACTACACTATAATTCATCTTTTTTTCCCTCATAAAACATCAACATAAACCTTTTACGCTTGGTCGGGCATTCTTTAAGAACATTTCATACGTTAAAACATCAACATACTTTGTATTAAGACGTCTATTTACGTTTTAAAAGGTCAACCTCATTAAGAAAAGTTATGTCTTTAAGTCCATGGTTTGTTCGGCTAAAAATCATATTTTTATTAAATTTTGATAAAAATTGATAAAGTGTGTGGTTGAAAATGAACTAAAAATAAGAGTTTCAAAAAATCAGAGCCAAACAAAACTTATTTATTGGATGTAGAATAAGAAAAAAATTAAAAAATATTTTTGTAGATAAAAGATTAAAATCTTGTAAGAGTCTATTTGACCCATATTCTCTAAAACTCCTTTTTTTTTAATTCATTTGCATAGATAAAATAATTTCGTATGTAAACACATAACTTTTTTCATACTTTTTAACTACACATTTTTCATAAAAAAAAAATAAATTCAAATTTTCACAAAAATCTATTCCCAAAATATTTGTACCAAACGGGGGTTAATTGTCCGTCTAGTGTGAGCTAGCACGGACCATGGCAAAGAAGCAAAAAGAACATTCCGCCGGAAAACAAAAACTGAACATTAACCATATGGTGCCTGAGGAGAAGATCAAACTTCAAATATATTTATGCAAATACCATTACAACTTGCTAATTTAATGGAGCCTGAAGAGATCAGGTTGTAATAGACAAGAAACACAATACAAATTGCATTATTTATAGACATAACATAATAATAAACTGCAGAGGACAAGCTTCAAGCAAGGATAAGGGCATAAACCAACAAAAGAAGACGATAGTAATTACTAAAACACCGTCAGTGCACTGTGCACATCGCGAGAGCAGGTATGGTAATTGCATTGTCGGCCTGTGAAGAACTTGCTCATCATTCCTATGCAACTACCATACGTATCCCGATCACAGTAAGGCTTTTCGGCGGTCAAGCTGCCAAACGAGTTTGTTTTAGCAACCAAAATCCTTCTGCTTATTTCAGAATCCATCTGAAACTCCTCTCCATCAGCGGCAACACGCTCACCTATTGTGGCATTGCACCTTCGCCCCCCGCTGCAGTCACCACCACCCTCGGCACTGCTAACGAGGCATGCTATGAAGAGGGCTAATGCCAAGTAAAGAAGTGTCTGATTCATGTCAGTTTTCATTCTCAAGCACTCTCTCTCTCTAGGTTCAACTGGACTTCAATGTTTTTAAAGAGGAAGACCAATTTCTAATAGGTGGAAATTTTGGATAAGAAATAAATGGCTATCCTTAGGAGCCTCCAATAGCTTTTCAATAAAGCTAACTAGTCGACATCAAGCTCTAAATGAATTATGTAAAAGTAATAAGCTGTTTAAGAAATGTAGCTTAACTTTTTTCATAATTTGAATGAGTTTAGTTTAGTTTAGTTTTATAACAAATCAACCTAGCTATAACAAAATTTTAATATTATGTTCGAGTTTCTTAAGATGATTTTGCACGATTTCGATCATTTTTTTTTTTTTGGATCTGTTGCAGGCTTGTAGCTGATCTACTAAGATTGTGGTCAAGAGAAAATTCAGTTCCCGTACAATTCCAAAACCTAGTTAAGGATTTCATCACCAACAATAAATAGTTAAGGATTGTCGCAGGCTTGTAACTAATCTACTTGGATTGTTTCTTAAGACATTTCTATGTAACATGTTTTAGAAGTTTAACTTAGACAATAACAAGAAAAAATTTAAAACCTTATCCTAGTCTAGTGCACACTTACGTGTGATGATACTCTTGCCACGTCGAGGAGCAAAATGGACTTTTGAAAAGCCAAGTCTCCTAGGCTCAGTTTGGTCCTTTGGTTCGTGGGTTAGGGACTGATTTGGGATCGAAATAAAAAAAAAAAATTCAGACCGGACTAATATGTTAAAAATTACACATAAAAAGTTTACATAAGCAAATTCTTTTTCCACGTCAAAAATGAAATGGCTACATCCGCCCTTGCGTCAATCAAGCCGTCAACGAGTTCATGACCCGGTTCGCTTTTTAATGAATTAATAAAAATTTGAAAAATTCAAAATAAAAGGAATGTGACCCACGGGCCACGAGCCCAACCAAGCTGACTCAGTGAAAAAAAGGGTGTCCGGCTTGATCATGGCTCGTCTCAAAATGAGCTCGAGTCATCTATGGACGAGACGGTGCGGCTTAGCTCGTTTTCCACCCCTGAAAAGCACCCACCTTAGCAAACAAGGAACACAGTACACATTGCGTCATTTGGAGACAAACGGTACAGAACAAGCTTACAGTAACAAAATTAACGTAGATGCAGGGACGTTTATTGAAGATTTTTGTTTGTTGTATGCAACTTCCGTATACATCTCTGTTATAGAAGGCACTTCTTTTATTTAGCGAGAAAGTGATAAATTTTCCTATGCTACCCAAAATTTTTCTTCTTATATCTGATTCCATTGAAAATTCTTCATCATCAGTAATGGAGTTGGTGATTCCGGTAGCATTGCACCCGGCTGTGGTGCTCGTGCAGATAGTGAAACAGTGGCTTGTCCAATGCCAAGTAAAGAGATGTCTGCTTCATGTCAATTTTCACTCTCACCCCTCACTCTCAAGATTCCACACGATTGATAAGTTTGGCCAAGAAAGAGGGCTAATCACTTGTGCAAATTGATAAGTTTGGCCAAGAAATAGGTGGCTACCCTTAAGTGCCCTCAGCAAATGACTGGGGTCTTCGTCTTTATTGGTATAGCTACGCTGAGTTAGGTGAAGTAATAAGCCTTGACTTCTACCCTCTAGTCAAAAGTCTTAACTTTAAAAACAAGTTCAACTCTAAGTGCTTGACTGCTTGTAAGTTGTAAGAAAGGGTTGACACAAATTTGTTTCATCAAAATGGACACAATGATTAAGCTCAAAGGAGAGGTTGGAGTATCAAAAAATGAGATGGAAATAGAAAACTTGATAGGATCAAACAATGAGATGGAAGATAGGAAACATGATGGGAGGTTCCTTCAGTCAATTCTAGGCCATATAGTTTTTCCTACAGGGATCCTTTCTACGAATTTGTCATGTAAGAATGCTGAAGCTTTACGGTGTTTGAAAATGTCATATAACAGTGACTATATTAGGGAGAAAATATATATTTATTTGTATTTGGTATATAGGCGAAATCCCTCTTAAAACTAGAAAAAAATATCTCGAAAATCTATATTTAAATTAGGGTAACATCTGTTTCAATGACTAAGTATTGAATCCTATAAACATCCATTTCAGGTTTGCTAATTGCTGCACTATTTGAAGGCAAGACTATGCAGAAGTACTGATTGATTTAATGGCATAATCCAGCAAAAGATATGCAGAGAATTTTAGCATCAGGCATCTATGACGGCCATGCGTGGCATTGTGACAAAAATCAGTACGTAACTTGATGCTGATTTTACCGTCTCCACATCTGTTTCTATTGAGTACAAGGAATCCTCTGAATAGAATTAACCTATAAATACACGATATACTCATAGTTTTGATAATTTTACTAAAATTTAAGCCTTTATTTTTAAACAAATTACAAAGATTAGTTACTTTAGACCATGGACGAGTTAATGGCACATGGTTATCTTGATACTTATTATGTTCCAACCGCCCTTATTGTTCCCGTTTCACTTTGATAGCAACACAGAAGTCCGAAATTTTATTCATCTCATTCTCCAGTAAAATATTGCTGGCTGTGAATAATATCTTGATGAAGGTGAAGAATGCCACGAGTGATATTAATGATGATTTTGAAACAAGTTTGCTCAAGCTTGACTCCAACGTAATTCAAGATTTTAATGAAACTTGAGCCTGAATCTATTAATTACAAATGCATTCGTGCTGTACTAAGTCAATTACTGAGATAAGCCAGACTCAATAGTGAGCTCAAATTTGAGTGGCATATATATACTTTTACATCTGAATTGCAGAACATCTAAATATCTGCCATTGTTTTATAATTGGCCTTCACTGAAAATAAAAGATGAAAAATTTCAAGACATTTGCATTCATACATACATGCACATACAGAGGACTTATATGAGCCCTGTCTCATATAAACAAGCCAACATATCAAGGGCTCGCTTGGCTACTCCAACCAAGCAAAAGATTTCGAAGGAAGCTTTGTTGTATTAAACAAACGTAGAAGAGAGAGAGAGATATATATAATATGAAACTGCTCTTATTTTTATTTACTGAGGTTGACCTTGGTTGCTGAAAAGCCTGTTGAAATCACTTTCAATACCTGATATTGAGCAGTGGACCGATTCTCTTCTCTTGGATGGTTTTGCCCTATTCCAGATTGCATCCCACGGCCTCAACCATGATAGCTTATAAATATTGGTTTTTCTCCCATCCACGGGTGTGCTTCTACCTGAAGGCAAAACATTCTGAACCACTTCACTTTCGGTTCTTTCTTCCGAAAGAGGTGAGATATTCTGCCCATCTACAGAGGAGATTTCTTGTACCCCAGTACTAGTTAATTTGATAGTTTCCCTTGAACAAGGCTGGACACCATCAGAAGTAGTCATCTTTGGAACAGAAGACTTCGAGCTCTCCTGTTGCTTCAAAGCAATCTCAAGTTGTACCACAACTCGAGCCATTGTAGGCCGTTTCTTTGGTTCATTGTGCAAGCATCTTTTAGCAACTTCCACAAATGTCTTCAGGCAATCAGGTGATATTTGTCCCCTTAGACTTGGAGCAGCAATCTGATCAATGCTTCCCTTACTGATGCAATCTTGAGCCCACATAATGAGACTGTGTTTATCCTCGGCAACTGTTGTATACACTGCTGGTCTTCCACACAATACTTCGAGCAACACAACACCAAAGGCATATGTATCACTCTTCCTTGTCAGTTTACGTGTTCTGAAATAATCTGGATCAAAATACCCAAATGTGCCTTTAACATTTGTGCTAACATAGCTTTGTATGTAACTTTTATTCTGCAGTTTGGCCAACCCAAAATCTGAAATTTTAGCCTCCAAATTTTCATCCAGCAGGATGTTAGAAGCCTTTATGTCACGGTGTATGATTCCATGATTGGTGCCAGAGTGAAGATAGTCTAGTCCTCGCGCAACACCAATGCAGATCCTTAGGCGTTGCTTCCAAGAGAGAGAATAATGATAATCACTCTCACCACGAAGTCCAAAGAGATGGTCAGCCAATGTGCCATAGGGAATATATTCATAAAGTAGGATCATTTCTTGGTGCTCATTGCAGTAGCCGACTAAAGAAACAAGATTAGTATGTTGGAGCTTTGAAAGTGTAGCAATCTCTGTCCAAAACTCTTGTTCTCCTTGCTTGGAGTTGGATTTTAACCTCTTAATGGCCACCAGCTGTTGCCCATTTTCAACGAATGCTTTGTAGACATTACCAAATCCACCCTTTCCGATAACCAGTGTATCACTGAAGTTATCTGTGGCTGATTGGATCTCAGCAAGGGAATAATGACGACAGAGTCCTCCAGTCGAGATTGATGGCTTGTTTCTGTCCTCAATAGCGTTGGCTTCCCAGATTTGCCGCAACCTAAAAGCGATGATGTTGACTAGAGTGGTTATAATTACTGCACCAGTTACAACTGCGTTTCTTCGACCAGAAATTGACAATAATATTCGTAGAGTTCCAGATGATGAAGCTTGTGTGGGAGACGAGGGATATCGAGAGGCAAGACTATTGTACAGGTTGCTCAACTTGCATAACTCCAATCTTCTAAGGGGTCCATCTATCAATTCACCCTTCAACTGAAGGGAAATTGTTAGATCATGCCTAGCCTCTTCTTTATGTCCTTTAACCTTTACTATATAGTCTCTGTACCAAAGGATGTCATTGTCACCCCTCTCTTTTACTATATCAACATTAGTTTCGGCAATCATGTCATTTATGAGGACACTGTACACCATGTTGCCAGTCTCTGCCATACGCAGTCCTTTCTCGTAGAAATGAAGCCTGATCAAGTATTCAAATCCGACATCCACAGATATTTTCCAGGTGAAAGTGTTGATCTTGTTTTTCTTTTTATATGATACTGTTTCCCACATCCTAAATTTACCAGCATTAGCTACTGATGTGGGATCCCATATAATATTAAATCGCTCCACGATTTCAAGTGCTGTGCTTTTGTCAATATAGATTCGAGACTTTTGGCCAACCACTTGGGCTCCAAGACCACCACCATGAGTGTAATAAAGGTCTGTAGGCAAGGATATTACCTCAATTCCATTTATAAAAGCATATGTTTTATGTGACTGGCTATGTTCGGGAGAAAAAGTTATGGTCAACAGTTGATTTTCTTCTATATTGATGCTGTACTCCTTAATGAAAGATTTTACACTGAGTGCATCAGCAGTTATTGAAGCACTAAAGTTACGAAGGAGGGTGAAAGGCCCAACTTCAACTGTGAAAAAGTCTCGAGACTTCTTAAATTGCCAGTATAAAGCCAGACTAAAGTGAAGGCGAATAAGTTTGAGACCTGGCCTTACTCGAAAAGTATAAGAGAATTGTGATTGAGAGATTCGTGCTGTCTTGTAAGGGACAGGATCCACTGAAGCCAAATTATGGATGGTGCTTGAGCTGGTGGATGAGCCCTTTATTTGTGGTGGGGAATTCGATATATCTCCAACCCATTCCCTGCCATTGAAAGCCGTTGAAATGCCAGTGGAACCACAGTTAATTGCTACATCCCCATTGAGGTAATAACCTGCAGAATGCTCTGTAAAGGTGAAAAGAAGATGAAGGATGAAAAAGAACAGATTGACGATTGAAACTGGATGCAGATACATGTTGTGATTGTATATTTTGGTGTAAACAAGAGAGGATGCTAGCAGTTATGGTCTATGCAAGAGACTTCTGTACATTAAGATTTGTCAAAGTCAATTGGTTCTGCACAATTTCCTAGTAACTTCATCCACATGAGAGCTAGTTTATTCAAAGTTATAAGAAAATGACAAAAAATAAAGAAACCTACAAATCAAGACTTTTTCCATGCCCGGAGCAATTAAGTTTATACTAATAGACGTTTTTCTTGAACATTTTTATTTTGACCTTTCCTACTCATGACATCAGTTAAAAACGCTGTCTCCCGTCTTTTGCTTATTGGTAATTTACTAACTCTGATGAGGCCAAAATGACATGACGGAAAAGGCAACAAGAATGCATTTTTCATTGATATGGACGCCCGGATGGCATATAATATGTTTTGGAAACATATACTGTTGATTAATGCCTTNCTGTGCTTTTGTCAATATAGATTCGAGACTTTTGGCCAACCACTTGGGCTCCAAGACCACCACCATGAGTGTAATAAAGGTCTGTAGGCAAGGATATTACCTCAATTCCATTTATAAAAGCATATGTTTTATGTGACTGGCTATGTTCGGGAGAAAAAGTTATGGTCAACAGTTGATTTTCTTCTATATTGATGCTGTACTCCTTAATGAAAGATTTTACACTGAGTGCATCAGCAGTTATTGAAGCACTAAAGTTACGAAGGAGGGTGAAAGGCCCAACTTCAACTGTGAAAAAGTCTCGAGACTTCTTAAATTGCCAGTATAAAGCCAGACTAAAGTGAAGGCGAATAAGTTTGAGACCTGGCCTTACTCGAAAAGTATAAGAGAATTGTGATTGAGAGATTCGTGCTGTCTTGTAAGGGACAGGATCCACTGAAGCCAAATTATGGATGGTGCTTGAGCTGGTGGATGAGCCCTTTATTTGTGGTGGGGAATTCGATATATCTCCAACCCATTCCCTGCCATTGAAAGCCGTTGAAATGCCAGTGGAACCACAGTTAATTGCTACATCCCCATTGAGGTAATAACCTGCAGAATGCTCTGTAAAGGTGAAAAGAAGATGAAGGATGAAAAAGAACAGATTGACGATTGAAACTGGATGCAGATACATGTTGTGATTGTATATTTTGGTGTAAACAAGAGAGGATGCTAGCAGTTATGGTCTATGCAAGAGACTTCTGTACATTAAGATTTGTCAAAGTCAATTGGTTCTGCACAATTTCCTAGTAACTTCATCCACATGAGAGCTAGTTTATTCAAAGTTATAAGAAAATGACAAAAAATAAAGAAACCTACAAATCAAGACTTTTTCCATGCCCGGAGCAATTAAGTTTATACTAATAGACGTTTTTCTTGAACATTTTTATTTTGACCTTTCCTACTCATGACATCAGTTAAAAACGCTGTCTCCCGTCTTTTGCTTATTGGTAATTTACTAACTCTGATGAGGCCAAAATGACATGACGGAAAAGGCAACAAGAATGCATTTTTCATTGATATGGACGCCCGGATGGCATATAATATGTTTTGGAAACATATACTGTTGATTAATGCCTTTGGAATTAAATTTCAGATTGAATGTAAAACGAAACTCAACCTCTTTTGCTGTCTTATAGGAGCTTTTCCTTTGTATTTGCTCCGTCCGAATTTGATAAAATTGCAGCTACTTTTAGATTGTTCCAACGTTTCTAGAGGGGTGCTATACGTACAGGGCCACATAACGTAGAGGGCACATGAATTTTTCTTTGAAGTATTCTAGCAAATATTTTTTCCCATCCATTTTTGTATATTTCCGTGTCAACGCAACTTACTTATGTGATTATTGTCAATAAGTTAATTTTTATGATTGCAGACAACAATATCTGACTTGATTGAGAGATTTTATGATCAAATGAAGTGAATTTTTTTTTTTTCCTCAACAATTCCTTTGCTGGAAATATTTACCCAAAGAGGCAGTTCAATGCTGTCTATAAACTGCAACTGTAAGTTGGAATCTCCACATTTATCATGTCTCCTTTTCTCTTGCTTTGTAGTTCATATTTTCTCTTACCTGGGAACTTTAGTCTTATTTCTTATGAAAGTTACGTTTAAGTAACTTTTGCTTTTTTTTGTGAGATTTTTTGTTGAAAAAGACTTGGCCTCTGTTTGTTGCTCACTAGTAGAAGAAAAAGAGCTGTTGGAAAAGTGGCCCTACCTACCATTTTTAACCATTTGTGTCTTGTTGGGATCCACCAACTTTGAAAAAAAGGGTTCTATTTTTTCTATTAATAGGGAAAAAAGTTGGAACAAACAGAGACTTACCCTTTTTTATGTCTCTTACATTCTTTTCAAGAAAGTATCTTTTTTTTTTCATTTTTTTTTAAGCATAGCCTAACATGCTCTTGATAGACCCAAGAGTTTTGCTGCTGGATGAAGCTAAGGGTCCGTTTGATTGCAAGAGTAAAAAATGGGTAGAAATAAAATATTTTACAGTGAATTGATTTTCCTAGAAAATGTTTTATTGGGATTTGTATTTAATTGTGTTTGATTGGCATAATTTTTCATGAAAAATGTTGAAAGTTTAGTGTCTATTTGGCTTCATTTTTTATGAAATTTGTCCATTAAAGTGATAATTTTTTCTACCATTGGGTCTAAAATTTGTTCCAATTGTAAAAAAAAAAATAAAAAAATTATCATATCGAATATCATTCGTTTGACTTTGCTTTACATGAAAATTGTCAATAAAAGTGATAAAAAAAATTTACCATTGTGTCTAGAAATTTTTCCAATTGCAAAAACAAAAAAGGAAAAAAAAAAAAACTGGAAAACAGAATTCTTACCAAAACTAAAAGAAAACGAATTCAATGAAAATGACGAAAAGCCGGCACGTGAGGGAGAAGTGGGAAAAAAATTTCCATGCAAATTTTGGTTCATCAAACACTATTAAAGTTGGATTCCTTGGAAAACTAAGGATATCAAACGAACCCGAATTGTATATGAAGCGTCCAAATATGGCAAACTTCATAGGTAAATGAATTTATTTATCTTTTAGAAATTAAACCTAAGAAAGTTCAATTTATAAAAACGACAAGTAACGATAAAAAATATCTACACATTATAATTTATGGGTGTGTTTGAGTTACATTATTTTGAAAGAATGTATTTTGGAATAGTAGATTGATGGAAAATGTGGGGTTGAAAAAGAAGGAAAAGTTATTGATGTGATGAAAAATATTATTTTATTGAAAAATGAAAATGAAAATTTTAATTTGGCTCAAAAAGGGATGTGGTTAATTTAACTTCTTTTAAAAGTTGAGATACTGCAAAACCCATTATATTTGGAAATGAGAATATGTTAAAATTGAAGAAAGTTTCATATAAAAAAAATACTAAATACTAGGTCAAAATTTTAAAGGAAATAAATAAAACTTGCACAACTACAATGTAAGTTGAATATGTGATAGTCAATTAGGCAATTTTTTTGTAAATTTGAAATAAAAAAATTATATTCATAACAAAAAAAATTCTTTGAAATAGGGTTGCACAAAAAAATCGCGAAATCGCAAATCAAACCGAAGTCGTTGAATTGAAACTGTGAAGTTGTAGGGAAAGTTCAAAGTAAAGTGAGAGATATTTTCTAGGCTATCAAACGGACTCAAAGTGCTGAATATGCTGAGTTACCAAATGCTTGTAAGTTGATATATTCCTTTGGTGCTCTTAAATTCACTGTTATTTGGAAATCTTTGTTTTAGCTTCATCATTTATCTAAAATGAATTCAGAAGGCTCTTCTTCATCATGTAATTTTCATTTTCAAAAATGAAAATAACAGTATCTTGATTGCAAATGAGTTGAAAAATAATTTCCATAGAAACTCTCCATTTTTTTTTCTTTTTAACTCGTTAAATTTGGCGAAAAGAAAGAAGTAATCACAGTTCCTACGTACGACTTTGGAGGGAAAGTTAGAAAAATAGTAAATGAGAATCCTAACATTAGTTACATATAAATACAAGTTTATGATTAATGATGTTGCTAGTGGTACTAATAATACAAAAGTTGGTTTTAAATTGAATCAAAAAGGATGCAGACGTGGGCGTGCTTTCTATCGACACTCAAATTCTCTAATAGTTACCTCATTCGTGGAGTCAATGTAAGCATACTTCAATCTAGATTCTGTATCAAACCAAAATCCAGGTAGTTTTGGTAGTGGCAACGTAACACCTTCTCCTTCCAACATATCTAGCACAGACCGCATTGTTGGTCGATCATCTGCTCGTTCTTGGACGCATAAAAGACCGATTTGTTTACAACTTAATGCTTTATCTGCTGAAAACTCATCCCTATTGATTTATCCAACAACTCTAATGCTTTCCCTTTGTTCCACATCTTCCAGGCCTGAACAGTGAGAAAATAAAAGACATATTACCAATTTCTTGGTTATAATCTGGTGACATCAAGTATTATCAGGAATCCTGCTGCACCTTCTGGGATAGCTACCTACTGTTTATGAGTTAGTTCCTTTACTTACATGCTCAACAAGTTTTCCAACAGGAAAAGTTCTGTAACTTCTTGTGCCACTCAAAATCTCTAAGACAACAACTCCAAAGCTAAAGACTGAATACACCGTGCATGAGATATTCTGGAGACATATAGCCACTATAAATCATATTAGACGAATTATAGAAATTAGTATGTTACTTAGATGAAGCTAGAGTTATGCATCATTGTGTTAATACTTACTGTGTTCCAACTATGCGGGTAGTTATTTCTGTTTGATATTCTTCTAAACTTCTAGCAAGGCTGAAGTTTGAAATTTTAGGCGTCATCTCATTGTCCAGTAATATATTGCTAGTGTCAAGATCCCTGTGAAATATTCTCAATCCCAAATCTTGATGAAGATAAACAAGACAACGAGAAATACCTATGATGATTTTCAAACGTATGGTCCATCCAAGTTCATGACGTCTTGCTTCATCTGTCTCATTTCAAGTCAAATGAGCTCATATAAAATTGACCAATAATTTATTTGTGCAAAAGAAAGAAAATGACATTCCACAATTGAATTAATTTTAGTTCTGAAAAAAGCGAAAAGGACTGAAATCTAACCAAAAATGTGAGCATCTAGACTTTTGTTCCCCATAAACTCGTATACAATTACACTTTCTTCTTGATGAAAGCAGTATCCAAGTAGTTTAATGAGATTCGGATGCTGAAGTTTGGAAATCAGAAGAACCTCATTTTTCAATTTAGCGAGGCCTTGTCTGGAATTTGATGGAAACTTTTTAACAGCTACTTCCTGTCCTGTAGATAATACAACCTATACAACAAAGAATAAATAGCATTAGCAGAAAGATTGAACTTCAAAAACACCATCTTAAGGGAGAGGTTGGGAATTAGAAGTCTAGCAAACACCACCTTGTAAACACTACCAAATCCACCAATTCCAATATTATTTGAACGCGAGAATTTATTTGTTGCAGCTGCAATAGTTTCCCAATCAAACCTATGCAAATCCACATTCTCTTCAAAATATTCTGAAACATAATAAGATTTCTCATTAACCGTGAGACTGGAAATGGATAGAGCCAGCTATGCATGTTCAAAGTAAAACTTAGACTAAGAAATGAGTTTTTGCTGGATATAGGCTCCATTGTGTTATAAAAAAAAACCTAATAAAATTTGAGCTCATCTTTTCTAATTATCAAACAATGCATTTCCTCAACTCGTTCAATTACTGAGATAGATTAGGTACAATTATGAGCTTGAATTTGAGGCTTGTATGAGCTGTCTCATTTACTGAACAAGCCAAATATCAAGGTCTGCGCCATTTAAATATAAGATTCTGAGGAAGTGTTATCATAATAAGTACACGAGATAAACAGATCACAGGGCAAAACGTGAAGAATATAAGATAACTGCATTTATTTCTGCTTATGGAGCTTAAAGTGAGTTAGCTGAGAAACCATTTGAAATAGCTTCCAACAACAAGGTTATTATTAGCAATGTCTGTGGTTAGTGCAATACCTAATATTGAGAAGGGATCCAATTCTATTTTCTTGGATGCTTTTACCCTGTTCCAGAATGCATCCCATGGCCAAAACCGTGATAGCTTAAAAGCATTGGTTTTTCTCTTATCCACTGGCGATCCCCTGCCTAAAAGCTCAGCATTCTGAAGCATTTCGCATTTGTTTCTTTCTGCCAGTGGAGGTGTGATATCCTTCTCCTCTACAGAAGACATTTCTTGTATCTCCGTACTAATTGATTGGACAGTTTCCCCAGAACAAGGCCAGACACCGTCAGCGCTAGTTATCTCTTTGACATATTCCTGCTGTTCCAGTGCAAACTCGAGTTGTACCACAACTTGAGCCATTGTAGGCCGTTTCTTTGGTTCATCATGCAAGCATCTTTTTGCAACTTCCAGAAATGTCATCAGGCTCTCTGGTGAAATTTGTCCCCTCAGACTTGAAGAAATAAACTGATTGACTTCTCCCTTACTTATGCAGTCTTGAACCCACGTGGTGAGACTATGTTTGTCCTCCGTGACTCTTGGATCCACTGCTGGTCTTCCACACAATACTTCCAACAACACAACCCCAAAGGCATAAGTGTCACTCTTCCTTGTCAGTTTACGTGTTCTGAAATAATATGGGTCAAAATACCCAAATGTGCCTTTAACATTTGTGCTAACATAGCTTTGTACGTAACTTTTATTTTGCAGTTTGGCCAAACCAAAATCTGAAATCTTAGCCTCCAAATTTTCATCCAGCAGGATGTTGGAAGCCTTTATGTCGCGGTGTATGATTTCATGATCAGTACCACTGTGTAGGTAGTCTAGTCCTCGTGCAACACCAATGCAGATCCTTAGGAGTTGCTTCACAGAGAGAGAAGAATGATAATCACTCTCGCCATCGAGTCCAAAGAGATGATCAGCCAATGTGCCACTGGGAATATACTCATACAGAAGAATCATTTCTTGAAACTCATTGCAGTATCCGATTAAAGAAATAAGATTAGCATGATGGAGCTTCGAAAGTGTTCTGACCTCTGTCCAAAACTCATGCTCTCCTTGCTTGGAATTGGATTCTAACCGCTTTATGGCTACAATTTGTGGCCCATTATCAATGAATCCTTTGTAGACTTTACCAAACCCACCTTTTCCGATAACAAGTGCATCATTGAAGTTCTCAGTGGCTAATTGTATCTCAGCAAGCGAAAAAGGACGACAGATTCGTTCAGTCGAGGCTGAAAACTTGTTCCTATCTTTGGTATAATTAGCTTCCCAAATTTGCATCAATTTATGAGTAATGCCGTTGATTACAACAATTATAATCACTGCAACAGTTGCAATTGTGTTTCCATGACCTAAAATAGACAGAAAGTTTTGCAGAGTCACAGATGATGGAGATCGGGCAGGAGGCAAGGGGTTCGGACTAGCTAGACTGTTTTCTTGGTTGCTCAACTTTAATATCTCCAATCCCTTTAGGGCATCCTTTATCTGAAGGACAATCAGTATATCACGCCTGCCCTCGTTTTTGCGTCCTTTCACCATCACAATGTAGTCTCTGTACCAAAGAATGTCATTGCCAACCTTCCATTTATCGACATTTGTTTCGACAATCATGTCATTTATGAAGACCCTAAATACCAGGTGGCCGGTCTCAGCCATCTGAAGTCCTTTCTCACATAAATGAAGCCTCACCAAGTACCCATATCCAACATCCACAGGTATATTCCAGGTGAAATTGTTGACCTTGTTCACCTTTTTATTTGAAACGGTTCCCCACATCCTAAAAATACCAAAATTATCTACTAATGGGATGGTATTCCAAATGATATTTAATCGGTGCATGACTTCAAGTGCAGTGCTGTTATCAATGTAGATTCGAGATTTTTGGCCAACCACTTGGGCTCCAAGATCGCCAACATGAGAGTAATAAAGATCAGGAGGCATGGATATTACCTCAATTCCATTTATGAAAGCATATGTTTTATATGACAGGCTATGTTCCGGAGAAAAGATTATGTCCAAAGTTCGATTTTCTCCTATATTGATGCAGTATTCCTTAACGAAAGATTTTACACCAAGTGCATCAGCAGTTATCGAAGCACTAAAGTTACTGAGGAGGGTGTAAGGCCCAGCTTGGACAGTGAAAAAGTCCATTGACTTTTTAAAACTTCGGTATGAACCGTGACTAAAGTGAAAGCGTATAAATTTGTGACCTGCGCTTAATCGGAAAATATAAGAGAATTGTGTTCGAGAAATTCGTGCTGTCTTGTAGGGAACAGGATCTGTGGAAACCAAATTATGGACGACGCTTGAGCTGGTGGATGAGCCTTTTATTTGTGGCGACGTAGTAGATTTTGATTTTATATCTCCAATCCATTCCCTGCCACTGAAGGCAGTTGAAATGCCTGTGGAACCACAGTCGATAGCTATATCCCCAGAGAGGTAATGATCTGCAGAGGTGATAAGAACATGATAAAAGAAGAAAAAGACCAGACTGATCATTGAAACTGGATGCAGGTACATGTTGTGATTGTACTTTGGTGTAAAACAAGAGAGATGCTAGCAGTTAATGGTCCATATAAAACATTACAGTTCAAAGTCAAGTGCCTTGAATCTTCACATATAACTTTTCTTATGATCATTGTTTAATTTTTATAGATTGAACATTTTGACCGTCTTGATGTTTTTCGACTTCCACGACTTGACGGATGGTATAATATAATATGTTTTGGAAACATCTACGTTGAATGGTGCTTGTAGAATTAAATTATCATGCCCAGGTGGGGGGTACTTTTCAAATGGGCCAAGTTAGCATTACCATTTTTCACTTTGAACAGATTTTTTTAAGAGAAAATTACCTAGAAACCTACTTTTAAAGTTTCATTTTTTAAAAAAAGGTGGATTAATTTTTATTTCACAAATTAGGTGATAATTAAGCTTTAATAATTACAATTAATAAAAATTTAATTACAATA